TAATGTTAAACTTATTTGCATGAGTAACATAGAGGCTCTGCACTTAAGTGTTGAGAAAGACCTCTATCTCTTCATGTGCTACGTTGAGGTTGCCCTTCTTCATACAGACCACAACCAAGGTTCTGCAAGAGCTATATTGTCAATCTAACCATGGCTCCATACTGCATACAGAGCTTCATAGAGGCTCTGCACTTAAGTGGTCAGACACAGCTCTATCTCTTCATGCACTGCGTTGAGGCTCAACCTTTTACTCTAAAAGTGGACTTCAAACTTGTAACTCTGGACCATCTGAGTCTTAATTATGGAAAATTTATTCACCCTTGTGTCTGTCAAGCCTGACTTCGTTCTTTATACAGACCATAACAGAGGTTCTGCTTGTGCTACGGCGTCACTCTAACAATGCTTCCCTGATTTAGACAGAGCTACACAGAGCCTCTGCATGTAGGTGTTGAGAAAGCTCTCTCTCTCTTCATGCCCTACATTAAGGCCCTGCCGCTTACTCTGAATGTGGACTTCAGAATTGCAACTCTGCACAGTTCAAGTCTTAACTCATAAAATTTCTTGACCCTTGTGTTTGTGAAGCCTCACTCCGTTCTTCATACAGACCTTGACAGAGGTTCTGCAACTTGTATGTGGTCAATTAGAGCAAGGCTCAGTGGTACATACAGAGCTCCACAGAGGCTCTGTACTTAAGTGTTGAGAAAGAGCTTTGTCTCTTCATGTTGTACGTTGAGGTTTCCCTTCTTCATACAGAACTTCATAGAGGTCCTGCACGTGATACGCGGTCACTATAACCGTGCCTCCGTGCTTCATACAGAGCTACACAGAGGCTCTACACTTAAGTGTTGACAAAGAGCTCTGTGTCTTCATATCCTACCTTCAGGTGTCAGGTCGTACTCTGGAAGTGTATATCAAACTTGCAACTCTGCATCATACACGGTTTACTCTCTTGGAAGTTTGTTCACCCTTGAGGCTGTCAACCCTAACTCCGTTCTTCATATAGACCTTGACAGAGGGCCTGCACGTGCTAAGCCATCAATCTGTCACCATGCTTCATACAGAGCCATACAGAGGCTTTGCACTTAAGTGCTGAGAAAGAGGTCTGTCTCTTCAGGTGCTACGTTGATGTTTGCCTTCTTCATAAAGACCTTCACAGAAGTTCTGCACATGTTATGCCGTCACTCTAACACTGCCTTCGTGCTTCATACAGAGCTACACAGAGGCTCTGCACTTAAGTATTGAGAAAGAGCTCCGTCTATTCATGTTGTACGTTGAAATTCCCCTTCTTCATACAGACCACGACAGAGGTTCTGTACGTGCTACGTCACTGTAACACTACCTCCGTGCTTCATACAGAGCTACACAGAGGCTCTACACTTAAGATTTGGAAAAGAGCTCCGTCTCTTCATGTCCTACTTTGAGAGTCCGCCTCTTACTCTGAAAGTGTACTTCAACCTTGTAAGTCTGTACCATTTAGGGCTTAAACTGCAGAAAGTTTTTTAACCCTTTTATCTGTCAAGCGTGACTCCACTCTTCATACAGACCTTCACATAGGTTCTGCATGTGCTATGTCGTCACGTATTTCGGTGATCTCAAAAACTTCTAAATAAATACTTATTTCACAAAGATAGGTCTGATATTCTTTTCCATAGTTAAAATAGATGGTTTACTACAGAGTCATTTCAACAGTATGCTTCTTGTATTAAACCTATGAACCCGTCAAAATTAAATGTAAGAGTTGGAAGCTGACTGTCACTGGTTTGCTTATAGACTTATACAATAACTTTCATACGTGGTTTGATAGACGTACAATGTGCATTAATGTTTAAACCATGCAATATGGCTCCAAAATAGTACTAAACAAAGTTCAGATTGTGGAGTTAAATTGTAAATTGTAATTCTTGAGTATCAATGTTTAGAGTTCCCTGAAACCAGTTCTGAAATGTTACTTTCAGGTGATAATGTTATAACTTAATAGTTAAAAGTCTGAATTACTTGAACATTACACTTCATCCTTTGCATAACATGGTGAAGACATAAGTTGTTTTAAGTGATAATGTTATAACTTAATTTAAATATATAATATATATTACATTTAGGTTTTCCTCCTAAGTGAAGTATGTTATTTGAACATGTATATAATACAATCACTAATTGCAAGTGGAAACAATATTCACCAAAACACTTACGCAAAAGCTTATGAAGAATTGAATGCTGTGAGGTTTTGAACATGTATATAACTCTTTTACATTTTTATGCATAAATACAAAGTCATATGTAAAATCTGTTCCAAAATAAAATGAATATATTTAAAGTCATATTAACAAATTATATAGCCCTTTCCTTCGCTTTCTAAAATCCTTTGAAATCAAAGCTACTGAAAGGTATACTAAAAAGGAAATGTGTACACAGTGAAAATATGAATGAAATATACACATTAAACATTGTATCTAGACATACTAATTCTTCCAGTAATACCTTGGTAGCTATCTGGTTTTTACAAAAGGATTTGAAAGGAATGAAGCCTGGTCCGATGCAATCACCCTTCTTTTCATAATCATAAAAAACAGAGTGATTGCGTCAAACCAGGCAATATCCTTCACAAACCACTACTTATTTTATTCTCTGAAGAGATCATTCATTCATCTTCTTCTTCCTTTAAGCCCTAATATTGTTTCATCTAATTTTAATCTGCAAATAGGCACAAAAAAAGGGAGACTCGGGTGTAGTGAAGAAATTTATTGGAAACTGTAAAGGACATATATTATTAAATATATACAGATATTTTTAAAAGTGACGGTTGAAATGACCTCCCAAAATTTTAAATAAATTTATACTCTTTTCAAATACGGTAATTGTTGAAATAAAATATTCCCACTCCTCTCCTTTCACCCATTTTCGACTCTTAAACTTCTCTGTTCCTTTTTCATCGCAAACCACATATTCATGGAGGACTGCTTCATGTTAACTTTCGATTAAACAAACGGAGCACAAAAGACGTATAACAATGGAGGTTCTGGCAATGTCAGAGAAGTTTTCTGACCAAGAAGAGTTACCGTTCCCAAAACTTATAAGAATATCAATGACTAATCCCTATGCAACTGATTCTTCAGGAGATGAAGATGACCACATTTTTGAACAGTGGCGTGTAAAGAAGTATGTTAATGAAATTAACGTACAACCATCAAGCAAAGCTAGAATGATGCCTCTCAATGGCAATAAGATGACAACCAGAAACAGCCCATGTGCTGTAGATTCGAAACTGAAATCTATGAAGAAGAAGAAGAAAAGTCTAGAGGATAGTGTTAGGAAGTTCCGAGGAGTATGGAAAAGACGTTGGGGTAGATGGGCAGTGGAGATTATGGATCCGGCTACACGCCAGCGGTTGTGGTTGGGAACATATGATACGTCAGAGGAAGCTGCCATGGTATATGATAATGCTACCATCAAACTTCGTGGTGCTGGTGCTATTACAAATTTTGTTTTGCCAACGGTTTTAGAAAACCCACCGCCGACGAATGTTACATCAATGTCCGACCATCACCCCAACCGAAAGTCACTCAAGCTTATACTTGCGGATGCACCACCTTTGGATTACCAATCATTTGATTCAATACAACTTGATGATGAAGTTGCATCTTTTAACATGCATCATGATTTCAGGTCTATAAACCCAAAACAATTTGATGATTGTGGTATAACCCCTATACCTCCTGACTTCATTCCTCAAAGTGGATGTGGATCTCCCTCAACTTTAAAAATAGATAACTACTTCGAAGATATTTCAGATAGTACTTTAGATTTATGGTTTTCCTAAAATGGCTGGAACTTATTTTAGTTAGTTGTTGGAGTTGTTTAATTGAGTACTATTGTATTATTTTGTTAGTATCGTATTAATGCATATTTTTTATTAACATTTAGTCGTTTTCCTGATTAGTTTTATTTTGTTTTTCAAACAGTTGTAAATGATGTTTTTTTTTACAAAATATATATAGGTCACAAAAAGGGTTGACCCATATACAAAGCTTAAGTGTAATGGGATTTATTCGCATATTCATGTAAGTGTCATGAATGTTGTAAAGAAATCTAAATTGTAATTGTGGGAAAGGAGTTCAAATTTGTGATCAGATGTTTTTGTGATGTACCTTCTAGCTCTGCCATATAACTCTGACTCTACCCAAGGGAACATAAGTCCAGACTTTCATGCACATGATACAAAAGTCTGGAAATAATGACTCCAGATGTAGCGATACATAGACATATTAGAGATGTTTCCTCTATCAGAAACATCAATTATGGGAAGAGAATTCTGAATTTCCATTTGAGAGAAGGAGTTAAGATTTATTCTTAGATTTCTAAGGGATGCTAAGGGATGCTACCTTGTAAGACTGGCATACAATTATGCACATAGACAAAGACATACTCGTCCAAATTTGTATGTCCAGACTTATAAGCATGAATATAATGGACCGAGGCTTAGTTAGCCATAGAACATATCAGAGTTGTTTGTAGAAGTCTGAAGCATCAGTTAAGCCATGAAAAAAGGAGAATAAACGTGTAAAGTGAGAAATGCCACTTAAGTAGACTCATTTGAACTGTAAGTAAAGCTGTGTGTGGAGTGACTCTCTGCATACAACATTTAAACGTTTTTAGGCCTTCTCATTAGCTCTGACTCCACAATCTACTACATAACTCTGAAAAACGAACGTGCAAACAAAAACTGACAAGCAGTTTCTTAATTTACATTGTATTTAGACCTTTAATTTACGGTTTCCATAACTGCCTCATCTGGGTAATCATTTGTTTCTTATAAAATTATTGTCATCATAGACAACTTCCATTTCCTACTACAGTAAAAAAAGCAGTCTTTAACACAACTGTCTAACTGAGTCCATTTTCTCACAATTGTTCATTCTAATGTTTTGTTATGTACTGACTTCATGTATTGGTTTCTTGTTGAAGAATTAATTTTCTTGCAGATCTTTTAAAAAAGAAATTCGATGGATGCTAGAGAAAGGAGAAAATTTAGAAAGACGGTTTTGAATAGTAGTAAACAGTCAGTGAAATCTACATCATCAAATGTTGAAGGTATTTGATTTGAAAGCATTTTGAATCCTATTTTGATTGAGACAAATATTACCTGTTCAGGAATTTTGTTGAAGGCACTTTTGACAGTCATCCTTTCCTCTAACTTTTTACAGAGAATATCTCAAATTATGATAAGCAATTAGAATCTTCATCTAAGAGGAATAATATTCCCTACCATAATGAGAATATGGATCCAAACACATGTTCACAGTTTCAACATACAAACTTGCCACATTCTTCTTCAGATCTGACTATCACAAATCCATTATCTGATAGTCCTAATGGTATGTGTAATCTCTTGTACACCTCATTTTTTAAAGTAATGCTTCAAACAAATTTTCAATACTAACAAATGTCTTACATTACTTAAATTTGTATATTTTAAACAGCAAGTGTTCATGTAAACAAACATTATTGGTTACGTTCTACCGCAAATTCATCCATCCCTTTATCGACAATAGATCAAGCTTCTTCTATGCCTCGGTTATCAGCAGGGCATCATAGATTACAAAGAAGAAATATAAATGTATCTGATATACAAATCATTGATATTACATCAGATGAAGAACCGGACCATCCAGTAACAACTACAAACAAAATTGAAGGAATATCTTAAGGTAATTATTAAATAATCAAATGTTTAATACTTACAGTTAGTTATTACATTCAAATTTATTAAACAGAGTACTTGGATCACGGTGATGAAAGTGTTATTTGTGAATGTTGTGATGCAAAACTATGGAAAGATGAAGCTCTTCGAGAGAAAAAATGCGGGATGAAAACAATTTACTCCCTTTGTTGTCTTCATGGCAAAGTTCAGCTTCCAAAAAAGAAAGAGATGGGTACTTCTTATGTAAATCGGTTTCGTTGTGCGGACTCAAAAAGCAAATACTTTATGAAGAACATTCGTCGTAATAATTCAATGTTCTCATTTACATCAATGGGTGGCAAATATGATACTTCCATTAATAGTGGAAATGCACCATACATATACAGGCTTAATGGTCAAAACTACCATAGGATGGGTAGTCTTCTACCACCAGATGGAAGAAAACCGAAATTCTCTCAACTGTACATATATGATACCAAAAATGAAGTTTCAAATAGACACAGTTCATTTAGGTATACATTCATCCTTAATGTAATATCTCTTAATAGATTTACTTGAATTACATTGTATGGTTATATTAATGGTCACTCTGATTTTATGTTTGTTATGATTTACTTAGTGAAAAACAAGAAGCYTCTGCATCAAATTCTGATTCCCTTGATATTGAGATTATTCAATACTTAAAGAACATACTAGATGCAAAAAATGTGTTGGTGAAGTCTTGTAGAATTGCAAGAGATTGTTTTGATTGCTACCTGGATGTCAAGCTAAAGTTACGGCTGATTGGAAAAAGAGAAAAGGATGGAAGAACATATAACCTTCCAACTGCTTCAGAGGTTGCAGCTTTAATTGTTGGAGATGATGGTGGTACAATTGAAAAAAGTGATATCATTGTACAATATCAGACAGGTTATTTACAAGCAATAAGTGAATTACATCATTCTTACCTTCCTCTTCAATATACGTTGTTATTTTCATATGGAGAAGATGGTTACAGACTTGACATTCCTCGTAGAGAGGTAACATCTTCAAGCAAAAGTAAAAGAACAACTGTAACAATGAGGGAGTTCTTCGCCTTCAGACTTCAAGATAGAAGAAATATGTTTTCATTACTTCTCAATGCAAGGAGGCTTCTACAACAATTTATTGTTGATGGATACACAATGATTGAAAGTGAGAGGTTGCATTATATACGTAAGTAGCAAAAAGTCCTAAGGTGCGAGACATATGATGCTCCATGCAATGTACAAGAACAAGGAGAGTGGGATGTTTCAAACATTGGACAACGTGTTATACTACCTTATTCTTTCACCGGTCGTGCTTGGTACATGATGCAAAATTATTTGGATGCAATGTCCCTTTGCAAATGGTATGGATATCCTGACTTGTTTCTAAGCATGACTTGCAATCCAAAATGGCCAGAAGTTAGAAGATTTGTTAAGGACACATGCCTAAATCCAGAAGACAGCCCTGACATTCTTTGTCGTTTATTTAAGATCAAGCTTGATGCATTTATTAGAGAATTAAAAGAGAATGAGCTTTTTGGCAAAATTCAAGCAGGTATGTTCAATTTATGATAACAGTATCAACATATTTCTTTATACTTTTAGTCTTATCTTTATTAATTTAAATTGTAACTTTTTTGTAGTTGTTTATACAATTGAATTTCAAAAGCGTGGCTTGCCTTACAGTCATATATGTCTGTTTATTGTTGGACCGAAAACTGGGGAACCGCCCACATGATATTGTCTGCTTTAGGCTGCCCCTCTCGGCAACAACCCCTCACGGCTTTAAAACACGTCACTGGTAGAAGTAAGATCCCCCCTTCCTTATAAGGAAGATGAATCCCCCTAGCCTCACCAATGTGGGATGCTCCTGCATTGCTACAGGAGCGTTGGGTTTAAGAATCGCGGATTTGACCGGCTCGAGGGAACGATGAGGCAGAAGTCCCAACATTCCCCCCCCACATTGGTGCAGCCCTAGCTCTGATACCAATTGTTGGACCGAAAACTAGGGAACCGCCCACATGATATTGTCCGCTTTGGGCTGCCCCTCTCGGCAACAACCCCTCACGGCTTTAAAACACGTCATTGGTAGGAGTAAGATCCCCCTTTCCTTATAAGGAAGATGAATCCCCCTAGCCTCACCAATATGGGATGCTTCTGCATTGCTACAGGAGCGTTGGGTTTAAGAATCGCGGATTTGACCGGCTCGAGGGAACGATGAGGCGGAAGTCCCAACATTTATGCATCGAGATTTCAAGCTACCTACTGTTGAACAGATTTATCCTATCATCTCAGCTGAAATACCAAACAAAAACAGTGATCCATACTTGTACTTACTTGTAAAAGAGTGTTGGGTTCAAGTATGTGCGTTATTGTTGTATTCAAGTTCTCCATATTTTACATGCTTTGTAATAGAGTGGCTTTATACTTTTCTTAGTATAAATAGTAGTTTACTTTGTAATTGTCATTAGCAAGTCATTAGCAAATTCTGTAATATGAAATTAGCTGTAATTCTCTCTCAATCAATTCAAGAGACATTTGGTGATCTATTCTCTATCTTCATCTCATTCTTAATGTTCTTGAAGATCATGATCAATTGTGTATGAATTGGACATTTCAATTGGTATCAGAGCAGACTACAGCAGTTTGATTAGAGGATTAAACCAATTTTTCAAGATTTTGCACGAATTTGCACGAATTTTTAGTGGATTATCGATCTGTGCTCATAACTGTTTTTCATCTGTTCTTCATCCAGAATTTGTTTTTGGGCTTAAATCGGTTGAATGTTGGGTGTTAATTTATATATTTTGTATTGCTGGATTCGCCTTTTGATTTAGAACAACTTTGATTCACACTAATTTTGATTTTAAACAAGTTTTGAACCTGATTTGATCGATTTTTGAGTTTTCGAAAACTGTTAAGTGTTCTTCAAAATTCATATGTTTTCATGTTTTGATCTAAATTTTTGGTGAAAAAGTGAGAAATTTGTGTTTTTGCTTGAATTTTAGTCCGATTAACTCCTGATCGATTTTGGTGTTAATCCGGACAATAAATCGCTTAAAGCTTGTGCGATTTAGACTTGTAATTTTTGTGAATTGGATTTGATCAGATTAGGCTAAACCGAGTAAGTCTTGGTCGGAGTAAGAGGTAAATCGTTTGACTCGTGTGCGATTTATTGAGCGATTTAGGTAATCCGCTTGGTAAGTCATTTCTAATTTTGTGCGATTTAATTGAAATCCGGTCATAGCCTGAGTGGATTAGTGAGCGATTTAAGTATAAGCGGTTTAATATACGATTTATGTTGTATTGTTGAATATTTTGTTTGATCGTACTTTGACTGTTTTGACCGAACTTTGACTTTGATTCTTTGAACGGACTTGTGAACGGATTTTGACTTTTACTTGTGATCGATTTAAATCCTTGACTTTTGGGCGATTTCATTTTAAGCGGACTTCTACGTACTTTGACTAGTTGACTTAGTTGACCTTGAGTAGTTGACTTGTTGAGTTTTTATGTCCGTATTTCTTTTAGGAAATTTGTCTAAGTGTTGAAATCATCTGATTTGAGATTTTTAATCCAAATTGATTTTTACGCCTTATCCGTATGAGTTTTGCATTTTACTAGGTGTTGAAACTCACCGGATTACTTGATAGTTTGTGCGATTTAAAATTCTTTGTTGTCCGGACTTCTAATCCGGATAACTTCATTTTGTTAAAAAGTTTTAGTCTACTTTGTCCGGACTTCTAATCCGGATAAGCTTGTGTGCTTAATTTTTCTAAGTGTTGAATGCATGCATATTCTTGTTTGAGATTTATCCGATATTTTTGAATACTGATCCTTTAATACAAATTTTGAACTGTAGTTGATCCTAAATCATACTAACTGATAAAATGAGTTCAAGAGAAGCAATGGCTATTGGTACTGATACCAAGCCACCAGTGCTGTTTTGCGGAGACTATAATCAATGGAGAGATAGATTTCTTAATTTCATAGAGAGAATGAAGGAAGGAGATCTGATTATGGAATCCTTGATGAAAGGTCCTGTTGTATTCTACCGAGAGACACCTGCTGTTCCAGAGGAAGGTAGACCTGCTGTAAGAGTTATCAAGGAGAAGTTCAGATATACAGCTCAAGAAAAGGAAAGAGCCCATGCTGATGTGCTTTGCAATTCCTACATGATGCAAGCACTGACCAATGCCATTTACACCAGTATTGACAGTCATAAATCACCTGGTCACAACATGTGGGTTCAAATTGAAAAGATGATGATGGGTTCTAGAGTGGTGTGAAGTCCAAAATCATACAAACATCATACAATCTTCAAGAATTAAGATGAATATAAAAGTAGAAAGAATATCTTCAAAGAATGATTAGATTGATAGAGAGAATTACAGCTAAAAATCTTGATTACACTTTGCTAATCACTTGGTAATGACAATTACAAAGAAAATACTATTTACAGTAGGAAATAGTAAAACTACACTATTACAAAATAAAGCTATTCTAAGGAGAAACTTGAATACAACTTTAACGCTCTAACTCAAACCCAACATTCTCCCCTTTTGGATTCAAGTTTGGACTCTTGTGAATTTCGTTTTGCGCAGTCCAAGAATTTTCTCCAACC